TTTATAGCCCAAAAGGCCTTGTGTTCTATCTCCACTGGCAAATGGCATGATTTCCCATAAACAAGCCTGAATGGGCTCATCCCCAATACTCCCTTGAACGCTGTCCTCTGGCCCACAGTGCATCATCGAGCCGGCTTGACCAATCTTTTCGAGATGAGTTTACCGTCTTCTCAAGGATTGTCTTTATCTGCTTGTTGCTTGTCTCCGCCTGGCCCGAAGTCTGTGGGTGATAGGGAGTAGCCACTTTATGCGTTATACAGTACTTCTTCATCAGTTTCTCGAAAAGTTTGTTGCAAAAGTGCTTCCCGCCATCACTCACAATCGCTCTGGGAAATCTAAACCTACTCAATATATGCCCTTGCACGAACTTGATCACAGTATTAGCATCACATGTCCTCGTGGGGATAGCCTCAACCCACTTAGACACGTAATCTACAGCAAGTAAAATGTATTCGTAACCATTAGACTTAGGAAACGGCCCCATGAAGTCAATGCCCCAAACGTCAAAAATTTCAACTTGAAGGTTATTAGTCAAAGGCATTTCATTCCTACGACCTATGTTCCCAGTCCTTTGGCATCGATCACAAGAACGGCAGAAAATTTGGGCATCTTTAAAAAGGGATGGCCAAAACAAACCTGATTGTAATACCTTAAAAGCGGTTTTCTGACCGCCAAAGTGGCCGCCACAATGGAATCCATGGCAGAAAGCGAGGACATCAGCTTGCTCCTCTTCCGGAACACATCTCCTCAACACCTCATCCTTTCCCATCTTGAATAAGAAGGGCTCATCCCAAAAGTAACCCCTACACACAGAAATAAACGTTTTCTCTCTTGGGAAGAGAGATTAGGCCGCAGTTTACCACAACACATATAATTCACAATGTCAGCATACCAAACACCTTTTGACACTTCATGTGCATGCTCATACGGAAAATTATCATTTATAGAATGATGCACAATCAATGATGAAGATGAATCAGATGGTACTATGCGTGACAAGTGATCAGCAACAACATTCTCAGAACCTTTTCTATCCTTTATATCAACATCAAACTCTTGCAATAATAAGATCCACCGAATGAGCCGTGGTTTAGAATGAGTTTTGCTCAAAAGGTACTTCAAGGCTGCGTGGTCAGAGTGAATAATCACCTTAGAACCCAAAATATATGATCGAAATTTTTCAAGAGAAAAGACGACGGCTAGAAGTTCCTTCTCGGTGGTAGTATAATTCAGTTGGGCCCCATTAAGAGTCAAGCTAGCGTAATAAATCACTCGAAGCAACTTATCAACTCGCTGACCCAAAACAGCGCCCACTGCAAGATTAGACGCATCACACATGATTTCAAAAGGAATAGACCAATCAGGGGCAATAACAATCGGGGCACTCACAAGTCTGCTCTTTAGTTCATTAAAAGCACACAAACAAGCATCATCAAATATAAATGGCACATCTTGAGCAAGCAAATGACACAACGGCTGACTAATCTTAGAGAAATCTTTAATAAATCGCCTATAAAATCCTGCATGCCCCAAAAAGCTCCTAATCCCCTTACCATTCACAGGAGGGGGAAGTTTTTCAATAACATCTACTTTGGCCTTATCGACCTCAATCCCCCTACAAGAAACAACATGCCCTAAGACAACTCCACTTTTGACCATAAAATGACTCTTTTCCCAGCTCAAAGTCAAATTGGACTCAATGCAACGTTCAAGGACTCTAGATAAATTACGGAGACAATGAGAAAATGAATTACCAAAGATACAGAAGTCATCCATAAATACCTGTAGGCAGTCCTCGAGCATATCCGAGAAAATGGAGAACATGCACCGCTGAAACGTCCCCGGTGCATTACATAGGCCAAATGGCATCCGTCTGAATGCGAAGGTGCCAAAAGGGCACGTGAATGTCGTCTTGGGCTGGTCCTCGGGTGCTATGGCCACTTGGTAGTAGCCGGAGAGTCCATCCAAGAAACAGTAGAACTGGTGGCCCGAAAGACGGTCTAGGATCTGGTCAATAAACGGCAACGGAAAATGGTCCTTCTTGGTCACTGCATTCAGTCGCCTATAATCGATGCACATGCGCCACCCGGTAGTGATGCGAGTGGGGACCAACTCTTTCTTATCATTCTCAATTACGGTAATGCCACCTTTCTTTGGTACCACATGGATTGGGCTAACCCATTCACTACTCGCCACTGGATAAATCAACCCTTCCGAGAAAAGTTTCAACACTTCCTTCTTGACTACCTCCATCATGTTCGGGTTTAGCCGTCGTTGGCTATCCCGAAAGGGTTTTGCTCCCTCCTCCAAGATAATCCGGTGCATGCATGTAGATGGGCTGATTCCTTTGATGTCTCCTAAACTCCATCCAATTGCTTTCTGGTACTTCCGGAGCATAGCTATCAGTTCCTCTTCTTCCTCGCTGTCCAGCTCAGAAAAAATGATCACCGGTTTCTGTTTGGCATCATCCAAGAAGACGTACTTAAGGTGCTTGGGCAGCTCCTTAAGCTCAAATGTGGTCTCAGCTCTGGAATAGCCTTCTCCCACTTCAAAAATTTCAACTGTAGGCTCTTCTTCGTCCTCAAAAACTGGTATTGACACTTCCTCGAACTCATGAAGTACCATCTCATCGATAAAGGGATCAGTTTGATCAATGAAGGCGCACTCTTCTACAAAATTGACCGAGGATGCCGACCCGGCCTCTCGAACGGAGATAGACACTGATTCCCCCAAAACTGTCATATTCAGAGTTCCGTTCTTCACGTCGATAAGAGTATTTGTTGTTGCCATGAAGGGTCTCCCGAG